CTCTCTCTCTCTCTCTCTCTCTCTCTCTCTCTCTCCACGCCACTCTCGATGCGGGCAGTCCGTCACCTCGCATCAACACAGAGTTGTTACCCCGCTCGGTCCGAATATGCAAGCCAGGTTCACCCGTGCGCCACAGTCCGTTGTGGCCCACACGTCAACACCGCATACTCAGCACCAGCTCGTCGTATCACCCAACTCCCTCGTCTACTCACCTCCTAAGCTGACTCATAAGCCGATCCTCACTGACCGCGCTAACCTCCAAAAATTCATAGAGAGAAAAACTAATCGTGCTTGCGAAGTTTATAGCGTGCATGCTTGCGCGAGGGACTCGGGATTATGCCTAAGTGAGAGGAAGGGGGAAGAGAAGGAAGTGCCTGCTTTTGCATGGCTAAGCCGCGGCGTGGGGGACGCAGCCACACTCCACGCATCAATCCGGTCATGCAGTCGCTCGGTCCAATTAGAACGGAGGACGAGGTATGCACGACAGAGAGGGAGAAGGTGGGGAAATACGAGAGAATCAAGAAGGAGTACAGTTACAATCACGCCCGCCAAAAATTACAGTTACATGCAGGATTAAGGGCGTGATACAGGCAGAGCCCAGTCCCCACTGTGGTGAGAGGTGCGCGAGCAAGAAGCGCGGCGCAACAAGATTTCAGAGGACCTAAATTCCTAGTCTAAATCCTATTTGCAAAAAGAAATTCCGAAAAGACAGAAAAACAATTCCGAGAGCCCGTGGGGGCTCGACATCAGTTGTAAATTTGAAAAACGCCATTCCCGCGCGCTGATCATGCCAAAATTCCCATCTCCCACAGCAGAACAAGAAAGAAGCTATGGCAACCGTTATTTATCGTGGTCGCTAAGGGGCGATCACCCAATCGTCTGCGCAGGACTTTCCCGGCCCCTGTCCCGAAAGCCAAAAAGAAAGAAGCGAGGGTATCCATGCAACTTGCCCAGCCAAAAAGAAAGAAGTTATCTTGCCCAGTAAATCATGGCTGAGTTCGGCCGAGTGAAGCCAGGCTATTCACAACCGACGAAGCCAAGCAGCCAAGTTAAGCATGGCCACAAAAGACTGGACATCGCAGCATGGTACAATGGTAGCCATTGCATAGCATGACATAGCTAGCAACATAGCATGCCACAGTAAGCAACCTAGCAGGGCAGTCCAAATGGAGTAGCAACATGCCTTTGCGCCCCCCCTTCACCCCCCCTTTTCCCTCCAAAAGGCTGTAATATCCACACCCTCGATGTAGGCAAGTCTTGGTCATGCTACACAAGGACTTCCCTAAATGTGTCCGACTGCAGTCAAGACGTCCATATTCAGTCCTTGTGTCACACAGTCCTTCCATGGAATAAAGAGGTAATTTCATCGTTCTGTCAGGGTCCTCTTTTTTCTTGTTGAACCACCACTACCTTTCACAGGTGACCTTTGAGATGAAGTTGTCCACTTCGGCATCCTTCGGAAGCTCAGGCTCCAGCCAAAAAGGGAAAACACGATTACCGCGCCAGCTAGTTTTGAATTTGGCGTGCAGCACAAGTCCGCCACAGGGAAAAGAGGCTTGGAGGTAGTGCTGGTTTAAGGGATTGTGCATCACCCTCAGGGTGATGGCCTGGTCATACTCATGAAATGTCATTTTCAACTTTCATATGAATTTGATAGTGACTTGTGATTGGCCTGTGATGTATTTGGTTGGGCTCCTGTTGGAGAGCCTCTTCACTACATTGCTGTTTGCCTCCTGCAATGTAGAAAGCCATAGCTGAAGTTTTCTCATGACCTCTTGGTTGTCTTAAACCACCAGTACGTTTCCCAGCCATTTTTTCCAGAGCCGTGGCGTGCATGCTGCCTCGACTCTCGGGAAGTACCGGGGCGCTGTTTCGCTGGACATCCATTCAGGCGAAATGGGCCTCGCATGTGACCTGTTTTGCCTGGATGGATATGCCGCGCCCTGGTATTTCCCGAGAGTCGTGGCAGCATACACGCCGCGACTCTGAAAACATATCTGGGAAACATACTGCTGGTTTAAGGGATATTGCGACCAAGGTTGTGGGAAAGCCTTGTCCAGCCATACTCTCCACATTCTCTCATCTGTTGCTCTCCCTCTGGCATTACTGGTGAGGGGTAGGAGGAGGAGATTTCGTGATTTCTCTCTTACGAGAGTTTTGATCCAGTGTTGCATTTGAGGCAGAGCTCCGAGAAGTAATTATCGGATTCATATGGGGGAAGGTTTTGAAAGACCTCTGAGAGCATTCTTTTCACATTGTTGCATGTTGCTTAGTCTTCCTCAACTGTTGTGATCGTTCTGTGATCCTTCTGTCTATTAGTTCTCAGTTGCTTCGCACATTGTTAATAGCCTTCGTACAACGTTTGATTTACCTTCTGTCTCGTGGTCTGCAGTTACTTTGCAAATTGTTAGGAGCCCAGTAGGATGCTTGATTTGCCTTCTGTCTCGTGGTCTGCAGTTACTTTGCAAATTGTTAGGAACCCAGTAGGATGCTTGGTTTCTTTCTGAAATGTTGTGGTGTGATTTCAGCTGCAATATTGCAGGGGGCAATGAGATCCTGGGAGAATGGAGTGGAAGTACTCAAGGCATCGTGGGCCGGGGACAATCCCTGTGCATATGTCGGTGTTAAGTGCAATGAGAACTATAGTGTTATCCAACTGTAAGTATGTTGCATGTTTTTCTCATGCAAGTGATTTGTGTGTGTGGGTGTTTCGAATTTTCACCACAACAGCCCCTATTCCACACAGATGAGCAGATCCGAAATCAAAGCATATTCAATCCTATTACAGACAACGAAAGCCCTTGAGTTGAGACATGTAAACCCCCTTCTTAATTGTGTTCATGTTTGCTTTCTTTGGGGTACCCCTTTCATTTGTTCTTGCAGCTCCCCCTTTACCATGCCTCTTATGCACAAGGCTCGCCACATTGATAATGGCTGAGCGCGAACTGCCCACATCCCCGTGTGCCATAACGGCCCACTTGTACACTATGAAACTAGTCAGAGCAAAGGTGGAGGTATATTCCCCTTCATTTCTTCTCAGATCTTCAACTTATATTTTGATTGTTCTCCTAATGATTGAAATCAGACTGCACTCCAAACTTGCTTGCGACATGCATACATGGACAAACCGATGGCAAACCAACTTCTCCAACTCAGAATCAACAACGAACTTGCACTTAAAAACTCAGTTCAAGTCAACTGTGCAACTTGCGGCTATGGCCGCCGAACACTGTCTTCACCACCAGCCTCACTCTCCCTCATGTACACATGTACGAGGATCTACCCTGAATGTCCACGCTACACAGACACACACACTCTGTACACTCTGTCTGTGACAACAGCTGGGCGGCTATGGCCGCCATCGTCTTCCTCCTGGCCAGCTATGGCCGCCGTCGTCTTCCTCCTGACCAGCTATGGCCGTTGTCTTCCTCACTGCCCACTTCAGTTCCGGGCACCTGCAGACATCCACGCACAAGTCACCAAGGCAGCGCTTCCGCATGACTCACAGGCGAATGAACGAATGGCTGGACGCTGCCTCTTCATTTATACTTCTTCGGAGGTGGCCGTGCCCTGCCTCAAAACGTGTGGGCCTGGGCCAAAACGCTTCGGCCTGGCCTCTTACCGCGTGGGGCCCGGGCCTGGAAACTTCCAGACCGCATAGGCCAGGTTGGCCCAAAACGCGTGGGCCCTCTGGGCCAAAACACGTGGCCCCAAAATGCGTTTTCGGAGCCTTCTGCATACCGCGTGGCCAGAACCTTCCCCCACGTAGAGCCCTTCCCTGGTACTTGCTGACTGGACCGGCCTACAGGGACCTACAGCCTTCTAGAGCCTACAGACCTACGGACTGATTCTAGGTCCTCAGTAGACTCAGGCAAAGACTTCTAGAACAGACCTCCCTAGGGCTACTGGTAACAGACTTAACTACTAAGCTACAGACCTAGGGATCGAGTCCACCTACCCGACCTACAGCCTAACCTATGACACAGAACAGGTCTCAGGTTCAAATCTCACACAGGCACCAGGTCAATGTACAGGGCACAGGCACAGGTCTAGGGATCGAATCTCACTCATCACACAGGGTCAATGTAGAGGGTTCAGGCACAGGTCTAGGGATCGAATCTCAGTGTCTGCAAATGCCGGGTCAACTGGGTGAAACCGTTTCACTCCTGCCGTGCTAAATTCGAGGTCCTCCGAGAACACTGTAACTCAAGATAGGACCTTCTCCTTTCCTTTCTCTCTCATAGGCGTGTACTATGTCGGGAGCGGTTTCTAACAGCTCTGTTCTAGTAAACCACATGTCGTCCTCTGTTTCTTGATATGTGAACCTAACTTTATATTGTTTCTGGGGACGACCTCGACCTCCAGTTCTAAATACGTCCTCTTGCACTATGCGATCTGTCGTATGTACCATCCATATCCGGTGGAATCATCGATCTCCTCGAAGGGAATCTGTCGGATATAGTGCATGGCAGCAAATTGGACACATGGAACACTGGGTACGTGTGGAGGTGCGGTGGGATCTCTATTGTGTATGATGGTCCGTCCGCTCCTCCTTTGACTTCTAGGACAGGCCATGATCCTCTATACCCAGGTAAGAGCTTCTGCGAGATGTTCTCCTCCAGTGCAAACTCTTTTGACTTGACCCAGCCTGGCTGGCATGAACTCTACGGGTCTGTAACCATTGCCGTGATGTTGCTGCAAAACGCCGCCTATGCCATACTGACTAGCATCTGTAGTGACGACAAATGGCAATGATGGATCAGCAACTTTGAGGACACGATACTCGATTAACGCCTTCTTCACTTTCTTGAAGGCCGACGTGCAATCTTGGTCCCACTTCCAAATTGTTTCTTTTTTCAGTAGTCTACGAAGGGGAGCGATCGTAGAGAAGTTTCTCATGAACTTCCGGTAATAGTTAGCCAATTCTAGGAACGATCGTAACTCTGTCAGCGTTTGCGGATTTGGTCAGTCTCTAATCGATGCAATCTTGCTGTCCTCTGGTTGAATGTCATCTCCGTCTAATATGTGGCCCAAGTAAAGGATCTCTGTCTTGGCCCACTCACACTTCTTTGCGTCGATCTTAAAGTTGGACTCTCTCAACTTTCCCAGGATCTGCCTTAGATGGCCCTCATGCTCCTCGAGGGTCTTGCTGAAGACTAGAACATCATCTAAATATACTACGACGAACCTGTTTAACCACGATCTGAATAAGTCGTTCATGCAGCGCTGAAAGATGGCCCGTGCGTTGGTTAGTCCAAACGGCATCACTATGAACTTGTAATGCCCATATCTCGTCTTGAATGCCATCTTAAACTGATCATCAGGATGAACCTTTATCTGGTGGTACCCTGATTTTAGGTCTATCTTCAAAAAGTACTTGCAGCCCTGCACTCGATCTAACAAGTCATCTATGCGGGGCAACGACTCTGCATTCTTGATCCTGATGGCATTCAGTCCCCTGTAGTCTATACACATACGTAATTCTCCTTCTTTCTTTGGGACAAATAGAACAGGTGCGCCGAAAGGTGATGAACTAGGCCTTATCTATCCTTTCTCCAGGAGCTTATCTAACTGTCTGCGAAGCTCCTCTAGTTCGTTGGGAGACATCCTGTAAATTGCCCCTTTGGGCGTTCTACTGCCAGGCTCTATCTCGATACGGTGCTGGATTGGTCTTGGCACTACTCCTGAAGGTGCTTCAGACAAATCTTTGTACCCTTCCAGCAGATTGGCAATAGTAGGTCTTGGCACTACTCCTGAGATCTCTTCAGACAAATCTTTGTACCCCGCAAAATACACACTGAGATCTCTTTATACGACCCTGCCACACACTCTGCTCAATCCCCAAGTCTTCCCAAGGTCGTCCCTCGGGTCGACCTGGGTGCCACCATCCCTGTCTGGGAGGTGACCGACTCTGGCGCGAACGGTTAAACGGGGGACCTTGACCCCTTCCTCCCACTTGACGGTTTCCATTGCCGCCAACCCCCTGGCCGCCCTGCTCTCAGCCACCCGGGGCCTGACCATTCCGGCCAAGCCCTCGTCCTCCTCCGTGCGGCCTCCCTCCGACCTCGATAGCAGCCTAGGTTCTCCCCTTATCTACACTACTGTCCTCCTCCTCAAGTCCCCACTCAATGTCTAAGTAAGGAACTTCCTCTGCACCACCCTCTTCCATTGTTAGAATTAGACTATCCTTGGCCTTGACCTGGCCAGAGATGGTGCATCCCTTCCACGTTTTTCCTTTTGTTAGATCTTTATGCCAGAACACGATAATTGGCAATGCATGAGCGGCGAATGCAACGGCCTCCCTACTGAGAACATCATAGTAAGTCATCCTTGGCTGTTGCTTTTTCTCAAAGAAATGCCCTTGCACAGGCTCGGGTAGGGCACGATAAAAGAGTTGGAGTCGCTGGCATTAGTTACTCCATGCCCAGGCACATCGATCAGCTCATCCATAGCGAACGTGAGTGCATGCAAACTCTTCCACTGATGTGTATGGATCATCTTTAATTTATCAGAGGCCTTAAGCCCCTGCGTGACGTCTAAGAATGGTTCCCCGAGTGCTTTCAGGAACTCAGAAAGGGGAGTAAGTCGTGAATATGTGACCATGTCATTGTCACAGTTTGCGTTCCGTGCAAGCGACCTGGCAAAGCTAGCCGCCTCTTCTTTTAATGCATGGAAGGCGACTAGGACATGGTCTTCTGGCCCGACACCCTATACATACAAATAGGAGTGTACACTGGCCTCCCAGTTGTCAAAGTCTTCTCCTTTCTTTCCACCGAGAAGCTCAGGGAATTGGACTTTCTCGCGGCGTGGGGCTGGCTGCTCTTCCTTGGAAGCCACTGTCTTGGCGCCCTCAATGGCGCCCGTGCAGAATTTTCGGTCTTACTGATCGCGAGGTGGACTTGGTCCACCATGTACTCCATCATATCTCGTGCAAAATCTTTGAAACGTGCGCGCATCGCTTCTAACTTGATATCATGACTACAAAGGTGCTGCGTTTGCTCGCGCTGCGTAGTCGGTAAGGTTTCTACACACTGTGTCAGGGCATCTAACTTAGTTGCTATCTCAGTTTCTTTCCTGATCTCCCCCATCCTGGTCCCTGCCGCTTTTAAGTCTCTCTCTGTCCGTTCTGCCACTTCCAGACGTCTAACTCTCTCTTGGGACAAACGCCATCTCCACGCCAACTGTTATTCCTCCTCCTTCGCTCTTCTCCACAAAGGGTCCCTTTCTGCCTCCAACTCTCTTCGTGCCGCTTCTCTCTCCTTTGGGGGTATCACTAACTCGGCCTCTCTATCCTCCCTCAGCTCGATGTGTGCTACCCACTCTTCAATCTTCTTGTCTACCTCCTCTGAGGAGGTTCTACTCGTACTCGCCTCGCCCTTCCGTCTCTCCAATGGCTCCTCTTCTTTGACTTTCTTCCTCTTCCTCTACTTCTGCCTCTATTGCTGCCATCTTCTCCTCCTGCTTCTTCCACCTTTCCATTTCTTCCTCCATCTGTTTCTTCTTCGCCTCCTGTTCCTCTCGCAAGGCTACCATCTTCGCCTGCTTAATCAGTTCCCTTTTTTCCATCGTCTCCTTTCTTTCTCTCAGAAGGGCGGCAGCTTTCTCTTCTTGTTCCCTACTATAGAGGGTGGTACTAACTCCGGACCTGGTGGTCCGTTACATCTTCGATTCACACGGGTCCTACCGGACCCGACTTAGGGCCGGAGGGACACACCAGGGCCTAAAGGCCCGACCTTTGGGGTTACAGGCCCTAAAGGCCTGATTTTGGACCAGCACCCATCGGGTAGGCCCAAACGACACTTCGTTTGGGCCTGGCGGCGCTCTYGAAGCTGCCGCCCGCCGATTGAGGCTGAACCGTCCATCTGGACGGTCCAGGGTCTGGCCTGGCCTCGCAGCATTGAGGCCAGACCATTGCCTACCGGTATAAGTACCGGTACCTGCCTCAGTTGAGGCATCGGCCTACCGGAACTCTACCGGCACGGCATGGTCAGTACCAGAGTACTGTTTGATGCGCTAAACTTAGCGCAGGGGCTGAAGCAGGAGCGCAGCATAGCGCAGCTTAGCGCTGCAGCGAGTGGAGCAGCAGCAGGGCGACTGAGCCAGCACGGCGGCCATTGCCGCCTGAGGTACCGGGAGCTTGGAGGGTCTCTCCTCCTCTCCCTCGCCAGTCCCCTCTCTCTCTCTCCCCTCTTCCTCCTCCTTCTTCTTCTTCTTCTTCTTCTTCTTCTTCTTCTTCTTCTTCAGATTGGAGACTATCCAGTGGGACAGAGATCAGAGTTGGATTTCGGTGATACGAGACTGTGGTACTTACCTGATTGGAGACTTGGAGATTGTTGAGGTTGACACTCGGCTGCATCACAGTTGGACACCGGTTACATCTGGACTCGGTTATCTCCGACATTGGTGACCTTTGGTCCTYGACAYTTTGATCTTGTTRTATGACATTCTGGACTACCATTTCGGAGACCTACCAGACTCTATCTTGTGACCTATCGGTGTGATCTACCTCCTACCTCCTTCGTCTCTCCTCCCACCTTTCATCTGTGTATGTGTGTACGGGATCTGGGTATCGTCAATGAATGACCCAGACCCCACCATCTCATGATTGTATGTGTGTGGAGTGATGCCATGTAGGTCAGTCTATGTGAGTCAGTCTATGTGAGTCAGTTCGTTATCAGACTTCCGCTGCATAAATGCTCATCCTATATTGGTTGATCTTTGGTTCTGCCCATACTCATTGAAGTATGTAACATGGTCACCATGGTGAAAGTGCACAATCAGAGACGATTCCGCTCCTCAACACGTAGACCTACCAGTTTTGACTCATGTCTAAAGGACTTCCTATCCACTACTCGCGTCTGTTCTAGGCTGTCAATAGAACAGAAGGGGKAGTGGGAGAAGGAGAGGGAGCGGGAGAAGGAGAGGGAGGAGGAGAGGGAGGAGGAGAGGGAGGAGGAGCGGGAGGGGGAGCGGGAGAAGGAGAGGGAGGAGGAGCGGGAGGAGGAGTGGGAGGAGGAGAGGGAGGAGCGGGAGGAGAGGGAGGAGGAGAGGGAGGAGCAGAGGGAGGAGGAGCACGAGGGGGAGCGGGAGGAGGAGAGGGAGGGGGAGCGGGAGGAGGAGAGGGAGGAGGAGAGGGAGGAGGAGCGGGAGGAGGAGCGGGAGGAGGAGCGGGAGGAAACGCGGAAATTAGGGTTGGGACCGAAATTTTCGCGAATTTTTTTTTTCGTTCTCCTTGTTTGAGAAATTCCGAAAATAGGTTTAGGCTTTTAAAAATCGGATTTTGACAGTGGAAATTCCCGAAAATTCGCATTTTTGAAAATTCGAGCGTTATTCTTCTGAAATTTTCCGAAAATTTTTTTAAGCACACTAAGCCGTATCTGACCTTAAATTGCAACTACCGGGCAGTTCACTTATTCGGAGAACTCCCGGTCTCATAGTGATCTCAAAGAGACCTAATCATAATACCTTTCAAATTCGTTATTAATTGGTTATCTTTATTTACAAACATTGTTTTACTGATTATCATTAGTTGGTTATCTTTATTACAAGCATTGTTTACTGATTATCATTCGGATTTATTTTCGTTAATTATCACTAATTAATTTTATTGATTAAATCGGTGTCTACAGTCCATCAGTGGGACAGGGGATTGTATGTATATTGCTTGATTGTTCTACCCCTGTTCCCACTCTCCCTACCCCCCGTGTTCTGTGATTACCGGGACTTCTCAAGTACCGCATCAGTTCAGACTGATGTCGACGGAACAGGACACCGGGGCACTGCCACGACGCAGTGCCAGAATCGCAGTTCGTGCCCGC